TCATAAATTCAACTGCTTTATTTTTAATGATTAAATAAAATTCTATTTAATTAGAGAGATTTAGGTTGCTTGAATTTTAAATATCGAAAAAACATTATAAATATAATAATTCATTATTTAAGTTAATAAAATATTCTCCAGTTAAATGCTAACAATCAAAGATTGTTATAAAGTGAACTATTTTAATAATTTACTAGAATATTTGGAAGATCAGGTAGAAGAGGAGTTATACCCTTAAAAGTTACTTCCATAGAGGCCAATACAAGGCTTAGATGGTGATGTTGTTGGCGAAAAAGATTTAGTTTTTCGAGTTTCTTCAGAAACCACCACAATTAAAATCAGAACTAAATCTCCTATTTATTTTAATTTAAAGCGGTCAAATAGCAGAAAAGGTAGTTTTAGAGCAACTTAAGCTTATCTCTTCCCCAGTTTTTTTCTATCTGTCAAGTTTTTAAATGATTTTATCAGATAAAAAAAGAATTAAAGAAAATAGGCTTCTGGGAAAGGCCATAAGCTTGCCTCCTAATAATATTTACCCAGAGATTTCAAGCAAGTAGTAATTCAAACCAATAAATATATTAAGTGAAATTAGAATAATTAATAGATTTTGAAAGTTAACAAAAATTACAACCAATTTTATAAAAGAATTGTATAATCATTCAAGCAGTATCCGACTAGACTTATAATACTTTTATCCTTAAAAATCTTAAATCATATTCTATAATTGTCTCTTGATTAAAATATTGAATTTATTTAATTATTTTTTTATTATTAATCGTTTTAACATACTTAATTGATAAATAGTAGAAAAAATCACAACTATATTTTAATTATTTTATTGATTATTAGATAATTTGTTTTAAGATATTTTTTTGTAACAATCTATCTATTTTATTATGATTATTGTAAATTAGTAAGTGTTTAATGCTTTCCAATTCTCCATTACTTTTAAAATTTCACAATTTGATTTAAATCTAATGAGAAATCTCAAAATTAAAATTCTTCTTTAGGATTCTCAAACTCTTACTCATTTTACAATTTATGAGATCCTTCTGCCTTTTGAAAAAATTAATCGTAAAAAGTAAAAAATGAGATTTCCTTTAAGTTTTTTCAATCCATAACTGGAAATTTCATTTAATTGTGTTAATAAGAATTAAAATTACTAATTTAATACTCTTAAATAACTATAACCAAATCTAAACTTGATTTATAAAATCCCTTATAAAGTTATTTAAATTTAAGAAAATTAATATGATAAATAATGTTGCAAAAATATTATTTCATTAATTTACTTCTATGAACATAGACTTTGGTTCATCTACTTCCTTAACTTTTTTCAATCTACATTTTGAAATAAGGGCTAAGCTTTTTGATAAAACTTAATAAAAAATTTGAATAAAGGACCTAGAAATCAGAAAATTTAAAACTCGATATAAAAAAAGCCATAGTTAATGAGTTAATTTGGTAAGAAATATTTAATAAATTCATTAACATATGCAATATTTAGTAATGTAAATAACATTATAGTTAAATAAATCTGAAAGTATACAGGTGCTTCAAGCCAAAAAGTTGTTATTAGATCAATATCTATTGATTTGAATTTAATAATAATGATGAAAAATATATAACTAAAATTTATGATTGCTAGCATCAAGCATTGAAATATTGGATAGTTTTAAATTCCAATTAATATTGTTAAAAATAAAGGCTTTTTCAAAAATATAATAACTTCTAAATTGTTAATTTTTCCAAGCTATTAAGTCAATCTGATGTTGTTGCTATTAAAATTCTAATTGATAATTATTACAAAAATAAAGAAATACAAAATAGTTAAAAATAAACTAATTATTGATCTCAGTGTTAATGAGTTAATTAAAATAAAAATAATATTGCTTTGAAGCTCAAATCCCAGCTATTTGCATAAAATATTTAAGTCAAGCCTTAAACTTTATATAAAAAACTGAATAGCTAGCACCTTTTTACTTATGAGATATCCTTTTATAGTAGCACAATTAAGGAAAATAGATTTACTTAATTTAACCCTTAATAAATATTTATTTGTAAACCAAGAATTAAATAAGAATCTTTTAAAATATTGTAGAAAACAATAAAGCAATAAAAAAAAGCAAGCTATGTAAATTAGCCTTATAAATTAGTCAGGAGATCTGCATTAATTTGATATACTTAAAGTTTTCCTGGACCCTTTAGATAATATTAATCTAATAAATTTTCAAATAACGCATTAATTTTTAACTTGATCAACATTGGCTACAATGTTATTAATTCTGAAGATTGAAAGTAAATTAAAAGATTTTTCAGGACATCTTACATTTATAAATCTTAAATAAAATTAATATTAAAGAGCATCCAATATTTCTGTAAATTGAGATAATTGACCAAAAATTATCAATAATACACTGCTTATAGCTAGTCCAATAATAATCCAAAGGGCGAAGTTATATAATTTAATAGATACCGCTGCTTAATCACTATTTAGAATAGTGGAAGCTAGAAGTTAATGCTTTTTGACTTTTGACTTGTGTCAACTTTGAAGGTTATTCTCATCTATTACGGATGAATTAATAGAAACAATTAAAATAGGTAGATCAATTATTGATTAGAAAAATTAAATGATAAATAAATAATTAGCTTACTTCAAATCGAATTAATCTACTGCAATTATCATAAATAACAAATGATTTATTATGCATCTTAAATTAAATAATTATACTATTCCAAAGATAAATATCAATTTAAACTTTAATTCTAGGAATTAAATTAAATATCGATTCATTCAATTTTACAAGATTTGAAAATGATAATGATACATATTAATATGAATTAGTATGAAAAATAAATTCTAAGTAAAATGAGGTTAAGAGGAAACATTGACTTTGAAAAATAGTCTATACAAAATCCCATTTATCTTCTATTTTACATTAATTAGAACATCCGTCTAGATTATTTACATTATTATCATCACATTCTTCTTAAATATTCAGAATTCCATTGCCACGCATAACATTATACTAGTTGTCTGTTATTGGATCAAAACTACTACTATCTGTAATTACGGATTTATTTGTATCACTTTAATTTCCATACAATATTTGTTCTGTATTTTATTCCTAGCAAACTGCAGTCTCTCTATTCAATACAAATTTATTGTCACACTTCTTACAAATATTTCCCTATACACAATCAAGGCAACCATATGAACATTAGAATTAACATTCAAACAACCCTCATAAGGTTAATTATTACCATAATCACAATCCTCAAATTCAGAGATGATAATACCATCACTACAGATTGGCAAACATAATAATTCTACTATTTTTAAAAATTGTCTTAACAAATCAAACAAGTATATATATCTAAACATTATAAACAATGAGGAAGACATTCAAGCTAATATTCAAAGCATCTATCATTAGGAATATTATTACTATCTTCACATTATTCTATAGAATATGCAACCTCTCCATCTCCACATAATAAATAGCAATAGTTATCTCTCAATTACCATCCATATTCACAAAGATAGCATTAGTAATTAATACATAATTTGCACTCTAATTACAGGTTTCTGAACATTCATCATTGAAATCATGATAGTATCTATTATATTTTTAAATGCATTATTATCACATTTTCTTATGCATTTTTGTTTATCATCAGATAATTCAAAAAAAAGGACTAAATTCTAAACATTTTTCAAATTCACAAAATAAGCAGTCTAAAATACAAGAAAACGAACATTAATAACAACCATCATTAGGTATTTAATTTCCATCATCACATACTTAAAAACTAGTTATTATAGAATCATCACAAATTGGTATACAACTTTGATCAAATTATTAGAATTACCATCCAATTAGACAATTTATACAAGTACCTTTAATGCAGTTACTACAACCTTCAACACAATCATAAACAAAAGAGAAACAACCATCAAATGCAATATTATTATTATCAACACATAAATGTTGTTTAGAATTAGATCCTAAAAATAATTGTATATCTCTAATGCACATCCAAGGAAAATTGGCATTCTCATATTTATTTTAAGAAGTCAATACAGTAATTTTCTATGTAGAAATACTGTGAGGGTATTAATGAATATTAATTAACCTTTAAGTCAAAAAAAAAAATTCATTAAGTGAATTAACTTCTATCCACCCTCCAGAATATTACGTATAATATACAATAACATCATCTACTAAAATTTTAATTTCAGGTTGAGAAGTATTTAATATAAAGATTCGAATTGAAAAGTTAATTTTGGAGTGTTCCTCAAATTAATAAGTTTTCTCCAATTGAAGTCAAAATGATCTTAAACAATAAATTCTTAAAATTAATAGCTTAAAATACCTGGACAAGTGTCTAAAAATGTTTAAATAACATCATTCCCTAACCATCCATCAATAGTATTAATTGATTCAATATTTCTACTAACAAATTGTTATAAGAATAAAAATTGGTCAAAACAATGAGTCTCATCACAAGAATCACATCCTGCCTTACAATTTTCAATTGATATAATAGATTCAGAAATTCCCCAAACTCCTTTTTGAAATATCATTATATAAAAATAGTGTTGCTAGAATGCT